TAACGATCCGACGATCATGCTAAGTTGTTAAAAGTATCTTGTACCGCCACAAAGGCAAATAAAGCACCTGTTTGTTGTTGTTGTGTCTCGGTCTCTTCGATGTGTGTCCGACGGAATTATCTGTTCAAGTATGACCGGCCGCGCGCGCTTGTGCTTTCATATTTTCGTTAATCCGTTGCTGTAATCGGCAGATTTGAAATCGTGTTCTGTTGGTTTTTAGACCAGTTCTGTGGTCAAGCGCACGGCGATGTTGAAACAAAGAAAACGGCGCGCGGAGGTTGCGATACACCACCTCCTCCTCACCAGACGAGTTTATCTCTGTAGCAATCTGTACGTTTCAAGAGAGTGTATATATATATACATACAATACCTCTGCTATATTACTAACAAAGTCTGATCCGAATGACATAATACTCACTCGCCGGTCGGACCGGATGATCCAGATTTGCTTTGTTTTGAGCCAAACAGAAGAAAAAAATGTACACAACAACAACAACACGAACCAACAAATTACAACTTTCTATTGCCACTGCTCACATACACACTAAGTTATTTTAGTTTATAATTAGTTTTTTTTTTTATATTACTGCTGTTACATTCCCAAGCGAAGTTTATTGACCACTGATGCTGCAATCCTTCTTCTTTTTTTTACATGATTTCATTGCGGCCGTTTAATATGGAAATGGTATTTAATTAAACCAATCGCAAGATCTAACGTTTCCATAGTAGTGTTCCAATCAAGGTCATATAACCATTCCACTATGTAAACGATGCTTTTGAACGAGTTTTCTGCAAGTGTTTCGTAGCAGACGTTAAAAATTATACAACTATGCGACGTCATAAGTATAGTTTACTCTATTCATATCGATTATAAAGATACTAGTTTGGTTATTTTACTCATTGCAGTAGTTATTATTAGATATGATCTCAAAAGTGAATCAGAAAATGAATTGTCCTTTTATTTATCGGTGAGTTTTTGTTTAAATTCGTGGATGTGCATCTGTTTGTCTTGCGAATAATAGACTCGTTTGCGAACGGGAGCAAACGGTGCTTGGGAATCATCAAACATTCTTGGTCTTTGAAATGTGAAGGTTGCTTTTATAGATGTTTCGTCTGTACTAGAGACGCACGCTCTTATATTATTGAAGTGTGTTTGAAACTCGGCTCTTAAGTTGTTAGTTAATCGCGTTCGCAGTTCGATTTCCATAGAATGAAACGTTATCGAGTTAAAAGTCATGACTATGTAAACTTTCGTGCGAGCGTTCAAAATCCAGTTTTCGTATCCTAACGCGATTGATTGATTAATTAAACGTAATCAAGGTAAACTGTGTTTGTAGATTCGGTTAGTTACGTAACACAGCCATCACACACATACACTCTTGTGCGAGTCCTTCGTGGACTGTTGCTAAGTCAATCGATAAAAGCGTTGATAAAATTTCTTTATTTCGGGCTTTCCGTTTACCCTTCTTTTTGAATGTGGATCGAATTTAGGTCATCGTGTTTGGTTTTCATATTTATCATAATAATGTAATAGATATTTTAAATGAAACGACGAAAATATTTTCGTGCATAATGCGGAGGATTTAGTCATCACATTTTGTTTGCGGTTTGTGATCTATTGTTGGGTACACACAGTCATGTATTTATCTGAAACCTCCGTGCAATTCAATTAATTGAGCGAACAGATTCAGTTGGCCGGATTTGTTTTTGTCCATTCCTCTTGATATATATATATATTGTTTCCATCCTCTCTGCGCGGTTTATCAGTTGATAACGAAGTACAACGTTTTTACTTCTCAATTTTTTTTTGCTTCAACAAATCTGTTGCTATCTGTGCCTGTACTTTTACAAAAATAATTGCTTTAAAATATGTCTGCTTTTACAAATGTTTCAAATAAGACGACAATATCTTACAGATTCGTTCTAGTATGTAAATAGGAATATTGGTATAGCGAGCCTTAAAAGTAGGGGATTCCCCGATGACATCATTTTCGTTACATAAAGATAGTAGTAAATTTGGTGTTGAGTGTTTTTAATTCCGTCAAAGTTGTAAAATATTGAGATATGTTTGTAGCTCAATTATCATCCATTTGTGTTGTGTAAACTTTGCGTAGTTAGCGCTTGTTTGCTTTGCTATTTATCAGTGTTAACAACAAGTGGAAAATCATAATAAACATGAATTTAGAGTAGATGGGAGGTTTATCGGGAGTTCAAAAATAGTAATAATAAATTGATTTTGGTGATGGCAACAGGAGTATTTATGATGATAGTAGTTTTTTTTTAATAACAACAAGACAGCAGAAGTTTGGAAAATTACAGACTTCAGACACATCTCCCAACTCGGATGAATTCTAAATCAATGAATAATCCTGCGTGATGCGGGCAAGAGAGTCGAGCTGTGGAACAGATAGAGAGCGCTTGAGTGAGAGCGAAGAGAGAGATTGTGTGTCGTGCGCAAATCTCGTCTGTAGTTTGTTGGGTCGAGAGTTGTGTGGCGAGTTTCAGTTTTAGTCCTGTGCTAGTCGATCTTGAAGTGCGGTTGCAAAGACCATTCCACTGAAGTTATCCAAAAAAAAAAATATTAAAGTAACACTCCCTGTGCGAAGGCCGAGCTAAAAGGTCCCGAAGCGCGATTAGGATAGTAGTTGTATACTTCCAGTGAGTGTGAACTGTTGAAGAGTTATGTGAGAAAGTTTTCCTTTGTCCGGGGATTATAAGAAAATATAAAAAAAAAGGATGCAAATAATGTAAGGATCGTTGAGGTAGAACTCGAGTGAAGTATGAATGTGTGCGTGTGCAATGAATGAATGGTAAACAACCACTTATTAGTATTTAGCTTGGTTTTAAATGGTGGAATGTAAATATTTACCGCGCACGTCCGCGGAATTTGCTTGCCATTATATTTTTCGTCGTTTTTTTCGTTTTCATTTTATACGTTTTTATTTATTTTTGTACATGGACGCAGAATCGAATTTCGCGACATTCGCGTTTAGCGAAGAGGAAACGAAAGAGTTTTGTTGTTGTTTCCATCGAATGGATCCTTGTTTATTCTTGCGGTAGACAAAGGGTTTGAGTGGGTCGGGTTGTTTTGGGTGGCTTCGCTTGCGGGGAGATGGAGAGAAGGATAGAAAGAGAGGAGGTCACATGTTGCCCCCCTGGACTATTGGTTGGTTGGTTTGCTCCAATTCGAAGTGCGACCTGACCTTAACCGTTTCCCCGGAAAATGCACGGGGGAAATTGGGTCACGACGCCCTCTTTCCTCATCTCAGACCCACCAACCCTTTTAGGGACCGTCTTTGCTAATTTATACCCTTACATATACGTAGTGCTCTCACACTATTTTACCTGGCACAAACACCAGCTGCTCCTCCTTTTCACCTTCACCCCTTATAACAAATTTTACCGTCTCTCATCACTTCGAATAAAATCCTTTTCTTTTTCTTTACTCGAAGGGGTAATAAATTCTTCAGTAACTCATTAGTATTTAATATATAAAAATAAATATACATCGAATGCATCTACAGATTTAAAGTAAAGGATACAAAAATAACACGTTTATTCTTATGGTTTGCATACTTAAATAATTCACCCAAAATGCAATTTATGTATATCCATTTGGCACCTTTTCTTGATACTTTGTCATTTGTTACTTACGAACGAGATTTGTTAGCAGATCTTTTTGGTGCCAAATATTTCTATTAAAATTGTTTACTATCCAAATAAATTATTACTTAATGGAAATCATTGAATTATCATTTTTTTTATCATTTTTAATTAAAGCTACGATTTAGATTAAGTAATGTAGATACAATTACAACATTATTTTATTTTTTATGTTCATTCGTTTCGTTTCGCTTTTAATGAAACTAATTTAAAAAAAAAAACAGATTTTCATCATATTTGAAACTCGTTATAAAAATGCTGTTTCGTTACCAATTAAGGTAACTTCGAATCTCTCTTCAACAATCATCTGGATTTTAACCTACATTGATTGTTCGTATATAAGGTAAAATAATTAAATGTAGTCTAGATTTCATGTATTGTCGATATACAATAATTATAAATGGGATTTGTTTCTTTTCTCTGTGCTTTCGAATATTAAATTTATGTGAACATTGTAGCTCAGTTAATAAAGTTTTGTTTTCGGTGGCGATATGGAAAGTGGCAATTATGTAACTGGATCAAAAGCGTTTTGCGTGGAATTAATACGTTCGAAGTTATATCGAAATGTGCGAGTTTGTTACAAATACGAATTGTGGACGGCTGTAACACTCGGAACGTCGATGTGTTGTGTGTACTTCAACCTGGCTTGAATTTATTATGAAAGAGTTGAATGTACTCTCGATGTTAAATGAGAAAATAAAAAAATAAAGTTCCAGGCTTCGGGGCAGCAAAATCATCCAACGTTAGTGCATTCACGAAGTTCGCCCCCGAAGCTGCTAGTAATTGTAGTGCAGACGACAATAACATTTGGCGCGTACCATTTATTCGTGGTATTTGGACTTGGGTTTTGCATACTGGCAGCGTTTATTTGGGTATGTTTAAATGGCGCGCGCGAAATGGTTTGGCTTTGCCGTCCAAGAAAATAAAATTAAATTTAAATTAAAAAAAAAAAATAACCGGCAATGTCTGGTATTGTTTATTTATCGATTCGAGCGTTTAAAGGTCAGACCGAATCGCAGAAGAAACAACAAGGATTCGGTTGGGATTATCCTTGCTGCGTGTGCGTATGTTATATGTGTAGTATGAATGTGTATGTATTCTTTTTGGATGGAGGATCAGAAGGTGCGTTTCGATTGGATTAGCGTGTATTTGGGATGCGTGAGATGGCGATGGCGAAAAGTGCCAACACCGCCTTTCGCATCCGTAGGTGGGGTGGGGTCAGAGGGGGGGCGGCGCTTCGTCGGCGCCCCCGGGGGTAGGGGGCGGTCCTCGCGATATCAAAACTGTTTTCCCGGCGGTAATTGCGCTTTCCAAACAGGTCGATGTTGGCCGACGAGTGCCGAACCTTGCGGTACCCCAGGCAGGATTCCGTCTGCGCCCGCTCTCTGCTGCTCGCGTCTGCCTCTCTGCCACGTACAGACGGATCAATACACAAATCCACTAGTTGTCCACTGTACTACTAAAGAACTAAATGCAAGAATTTAACGCCAAATCTGTGGAAGTCGTTTGTGATATTTAGTATTCCCGGATAATAATAGCAACAACAACAACGAGGAGGAGGAAGTGACGGAACTGTTCTCTGCTGTGCGATATAATATACATGTGCGAGACATCCTCGGTTCAAATTCAACACAACCATCTCGTATTCATTAGCGGCATTATCATTATAGTATGCTGCTGCAATTCGTCGAGACTTCACTCCTCTCCTCAACAACATAAACAAAGATCAACACTGCGGTGGACCCGCCGCTCCAGTGTTCCTTTAGCCTCAAAGTATCGTTTATAGTTTAGCTATTCCCCAGTTTGTTTTCGAATTTTACTATTATTACTATTTGTGTATTATATTCATTGGTGGTGCGCGATTTTCGTATACGTATATTATTATCATCAACCTATTTTAACCATTATTGTTTGGGAATTTAAAATGACTTGTGTTTTTCTGCCGCTTGGAAGACGTGTTTGCCCCCCTACCGTTCACCGCTACGAATAGTGTCGGGGCCTCCATATTTGTAAGTTACATTTTCTGCGTCTTATTTTATATTTACCATTGCCCCGGAAGCTCATTATGCAACTCTGCACCTTTACCATCAAACGCATGAGCCGCATTTCCATTTACCTATTTATTTGTGTACACGCTTCTCTCTGTCTCTCTCTCTCTCCTTCGGCCCACCCCTTTTAACGATTTTTGATTGGGTAGCCAATAAGAACGGGGGGTCGGTAATTTTAGAATTTTACGTCGTCGTCCTTTTTTTTTATTCAGCAACGTTCGCCATTTCACCGCCCACCCATGTTGTGTCCACCACTTGCACAACCGAACGAAAATAGATTTTTTTTTAAAAAAAAACTTCGAGAATACAGGGGAAAAAATATGAAGGCGTAGGCGATGTTCGCAAATCGTATATTTTTATTTCCTGAAGTCATACATTTTTATACGCATATTTATATACAAACATCTATTTCGATCAATCCATTTGAAACAATTAATATTTTATTAAGTAAAATAATCATATTTTATTTATTTATTTATTATATCTGTACAGACGTTAATAATCTTCGAAAATGTAACATTCATAACATCCACTATCGTTATTTACAAAACCGAGTGGAACTTTTTATAATCGTCATTAAAATATATATGTGCATCGAACAGATTCGATCATTTTTCTTCCTCCTTTTTTTTCTTTTCGAAATGAAATAAATTAGATAACGTGGTCCGATAATGTTCTGATAATTGCCATGTTATTGGTTTTCTGTTTATTTGCTGTTGCCTTCGATTTGCTTTCAAAGTAACTGCTTACTTTTATTGGAGATCATCAACCTTTCTGGTAAATAAAATAAAGCTGAATCGAACTAAATTGTTGTAACCTAATTACGTGAAGAAAGAAAAAAAAATGCAAATCTAAATATCGTTTGAGCGAATTGATTTCCCATTGATGTAACAATTCAAGTTGAAATTCTATATGGAGCTGCGGCTGCGGAGAAAGTTTACTAGGTTATTCACGTGAAAATGAAGTCTCTCGCTCTTGGGGTTACTACATGCTATATACTGTATACAAAAGACTGTGACCTGCGGTAACTGATTCTTGGAGAAGCTAAATGTTTTCTCCTTCGGTATTTGCATTTATTAATTTCCTACATGTACCGAAACATTACTGCTAACTGTATATATTATTAATATATGAAAATTTTATACTTTGCGCGATGCATTTTAAAATTGCTTTCTAGAATATTTACGCTGAGCATTCGACAAAATCAATTGTAATAATCGCACCACGCATGTGATGTCATGCAGCTGTAAATGCGTTTCTTTACTGAAACCTTAGATACACTAATACCCTTATGACGAACTTTCAAACTAGTCGCACATATAAATAGGATAATGATAATATAGAATATTTCTTATTTAATACCTAATTATAGATTTTTTGAAATTAGGTTTAAATCTACATGATCTGAAGTGTTTAATCTCATTGTTATCACGATTCCATCAACTGATGATTACACGAAATCTGATTTATACTTAAATAAAGAATTGTTGTGTTTTAAATAAAATGTTTGGTGGCGAAATGTATTTCTATCGAAAATAATTGTATTGTATGATTTTTTTTATTACAAGAAAAGCCAAAATGCTAGTAGATTTTCGTATGTAATATTGAAATTGACAAGTGTTTGATTACGTATGGGAGAGCTAACAAGTTTCTAACTTTGTTAAGTTTGTTTCTTGATGTTGATATGTTGTTTGTTTTGTTGCAGATCTCTGGCTGGCTAGACTGACATGGAGCACTAGTAAGATGCGCGCCCCCGTCCCCTCCGAGCCGAACTACACATTTCCTACCTACCAAGTGCCTCAAGTGTCAGCCATGAGGGGCCGCGCACCCCCAGTACAAGTCGCTCGGACAGCAAGGGTGGTTAGAGCCGAACCCCCAAGTGTGTCCCCCTGCGTTCCCTCGAACGCGAAATCTGTGATATACGGCTCAAGTTGCCCTTCCGGCAACTCTAATCTTAGGTAATTAGCGCAGTACAACTGGATGTATTGTGGTGTTTAATGCAGATTGAGGAAGGAATGTTGAATGCGAGACTATATTATTTGTTTGTATGTTTCCAGGATGCAATCTGTGACCGAAAACTGTCTTCTGAATTCTGTTACCGTACCAAAAATACAACGTAACGTAGCCCACAATAATAGCGATAAGTTAGCATGTAAGTCTGGTGCTTTACTCCTCGGACAAGACATTCCCGGCAACCAAAAGGCTGATAATAAAATACCCCCCGGACTGACTACTACGCAGTACCTAGATGATGTTACAATTACTAGCACCGCCAGCAGCTCCTACTCACTGGCCAGACTCATCGAGATGAGCAGGCGTACCAGAGAGTTGCAGCAACTCGGCGCCCCCATGCCTGCCATGCGACTGCTCGGTGGCGGTGAGAGCTCCATCAATACCGGCACCTCAGGATGGGGCTCGCCGCCCACCCAACAGGCCAGTAATAATAATGGTAAATATACTCTTGAACATCAAAACAACCAGACGATACGTTATAAGCATGCTTCATTTTCATATAGCGAATACCTCCAGTGGTTGGGGCACTGCCAATCCTGCCAACCAAAATAATACGGGGACCCAGCAATGGAATAATAACGCCAATCGGCCCCCAACTTCTGGTCCCGGCAATACTAATCAAGATGGTAAATAACAGACATCCCATACAAAATGTTATTACTGTTTTCGTTAGATCCACGACAAAACGAAATCATTCAATGATCAAACTTCGATCTTGATAATAACTCTACAAACAGTGGTTCCCATTCTTTAAATACAAATCATTACTTCTAAGTTCCAATTTAACAGTTGATTTCAGTGATATTTTATTGCTAATTTATTTTTAATTATTACCTACATTATAGAGTTTTCGTTAATGTCCATCCGCTAGATGTATTATTTAGTTTATAGTTTCTAAACTCTCAAACTATAGTTCTTTCTTGATCTTAAACTTTTAATGTAATTATCTTGTTATTTGTACTTACGTCAATTTTGGTATTGCAAATATCTGTATTGTGTATTCTGAGAAGAACAATATATAGAAGTTGTTTTCATGGGGGAACTGCTGCTGTAGAGAATGATTAATCAATTTGTACCAACGTCATATGTGCACTTGTTCGTTGCTGCTGTTAGATTGCTAATATTTATTTCTTTTATATCTGTTGTAGTGAACAAAGCCAATTCGAACTTACCTCCAAATGGTCAAGCGCCTGCCGCCACTCAGGGCAACACAGGATGGGGACAGGCCGGTCCGAAGCCGCCCACGACTGTGGCCCCGCCAACAGCGAACTCAAATAATGCGCAAAATCAAAACAACCAACCCGCTGGACCAGCGGTAAACTCCACGACTAAACAACAGCTCGAACAACTCACCAACATGCGCGAGGCCATCTTCAGCCAGGACGGCTGGGGCGGTCAACACGTCAACCAGGACACTAACTGGGACATTCCCAGCAGCCCGGAGCCGCAGAATAAGATGGACGGTTCTGGCAACGGAGCGCCACATCCATGGAAGCCGACCGTGAACAACGGCACGGAACTTTGGGAAGCGAATCTTCGCAGCGGCGGACAACCACCACCGCCACCGCAGCAGAAAACCCCTTGGGGTCACACTCCGTCCTCGAATATCGGAGGAACCTGGGGTGAAGAGGATGATGCCGCCGACAGCAGCAATGTTTGGACAGGTATTATAGTCGCTCAACACAAACCCATTCCGAACTTTATTACTAATAAATTACTTTGTACTCGTAGGTGTTCCGTCCGGTCAACAGCAGCAGCAACAACAACAACAATGGAGTGGAAATAATAGCAATTCGGGAACCATGTGGGGTGGACCCAAGAAGGAGAACGATTGGACTAGTTCGACAGGGAACACCAATTGGGGCGATCCTCGTGCTCCCGATCCCAGGGCGTCTTCGATAGACCTACGCGATATGCGTCCAGATCCACGGGACATGAGACCTGGCAGTACAGAGACTATGCGCATCATGGATCCTAGAGAGCAAATGAGAATTGTTAGCGGTGATATGCGTGGAGATCCCAGAGGTATGAGATATCTTGTTTATTGAGAGAAATGGATTTTCTTATTGTTGAATTTTAACAGGAATAACGGGTAGATTAAACGGTTCTGCAACGGAGGGTTTCTGGGCTCAGAGCGTTCCGCAAGCCAGTGCTCACCACATTCACCCACACGGAAAGACTCCAGTGGGTCCAGGTAATGGAGGTGCTGGCTGGGAAGAGCCTTCGCCACCGTCCCAAAGACGCAATATGCCCAACTACGATGATGGCACTTCCCTCTGGGGCAATCCTCAACAAGGTCAGTTGTCGTCAATTATCCAACATTTAAAATGTGGCATACATTTTGAAATGCCATTTCTGAAATTGACCGTTTCAGATACGATAAAAAAACAAATGAAATTATATCTTTAGTATTTCATTAACTTTACACTGAATTTATGCATCTGAAAGGGTTAAAGCAAACTCATATTTAATAAAGAATAGTAGTATGAAAGAAAACTATTAATTAAAATAGTTTGCAAGTTAAGAATCTTTAAATTTTGAAAAACAAATTCAAATTACAGTTACTTATTTTTCGCAATGTTGGTAATTTTTGTTGTTACCTCTTGGAATATTTTCGAGAAGGTTGGACACACTTGTTCATTGTTTTTTTCTTATACGATTTTCGCAGTGAGTTCATTGACCTGCATGTTTTTATTAACCGAGAGTTCGTTACTCGCGTGATCAGGTGAAACAACAAAGATCTTCTTAAAAATGTTGAAACTATTATTGGTGGATTTGTATTACGCTAATAATATCAGAAATGAATATTTGGACGCAAAAGCCAAGTGCATTCAAAATGGTAATGATTACATATTTAAATTGTATTTACTTGTACATTTTTTGCAGTCAAAAAACAAGATATATCTGTGTATCCTCTTTATCCTAATCATGCTTACAAACCACAGTACACATACAAACATTACATAACTGGGATTTAATTGAAAGTCAATTGATTGAAATGCCATTGTTTATTGTTAACTTACATTATACTAGTAAAAGTTAGGTAGTTAGGTACACATAAAAAACTCTTAGCACTCAATCCTGGCTTTCGCTGTGTGGGCTGTAGGTTCTCACTGGAAAGATCTGCCAACAGGAGGTGGAGGTGCTGGAAACATGGCAGGCCGTGGTGGAGCTGGAAATGGACCACCAGGTATGGCTGTGCCCGCTACTCGCGTCCCCATTAAAGGACCATCCGATGGAAACAGCGTCTGGCGCAATGGAGGTGGAGGAGGAGGTGGTTGGGTTGATGAACCTGGTCCAGGAGGTGTAACAGGATGGGGAGAAGATACTGGTCCATGGCCAAAGCAGAAGTCTATGGGTGGAGGAGCTTTGCCACCGCTCTGGCCAGACAATGATATGGATTGGTCTCACAAGCAGGGTCCGAAGAAGCAATTAACACCAGAAAATATTTGGAACTCAAAGCAATTTAGGGGATTAATCGATATGGGATATAAGGTACAATTAATCATAATAACTAACTTCTTTCGATTGGTTACACATACATAATTGCTTTATACAGAAAGAGGATGCTGAACATGCCCTAAGGGTTCGAGACATGAACATGGAAGAAGCTCTAGATTTCTTGAATACTTCTGTTCGTAATCCCAGCATGGATGGATGGAACAGAAGACACGAGGACCATTATGACCATCAACAGTTTCCTGGTCAAAGAGGATTTCCTTCTGGGCCTTCTGCTCAACTTAATTTCCAACCAGTATGTGCAATCAATATCATGAATGTTATATAAGATATTTAATTTATTTTGTTTCAACAGGGAAATAATACACCGAATTTGTTGAATAACATGGGAAATTCTTCAGCTGGAGGAAACAACTCTCTTATCAATAACATGTCACCAGCTATAGTACAGAAGATGTTATCTCAGGTTAGCGGCGTGTCTCAAGGGAATGGCGGAGCGGGAGGTCGTTCGATGCAACCCCAGTCCCAACCTTCAACTGCACAACTTCGCATGTTGGTACAACAAATTCAAATGGCTGTCCAAGCTGGTTATCTAAATCACCAGGTAACATCGTTTACTTATCATCTACCGATCACGTTTTTCAATTCAACTATTTGTAGATATTGAATCAGCCACTAGCTCCTCAAACGCTGATCCTACTAAACCAACTACTGCAGCAGATCAAGAATTTGCAGCACTGGGCCAACCAGCAAACAATGGCACAGAGTATGGTCTCCTCGAAGCAGAATTATCTACAATATTCACTCGCAATCACGAAAACGAAACAGCAAATACAAAACTTGCAGAACCAGATCGCTGCTCAGCAAGCGAATTACGTAAAGCAGCAGCAACAACAGCAGCAGCAGCAACAGCATGATATGTTTAAGTCAAATCCAATGCATGAAACTCTGCACAGTTTTAGCGATCTCGTCATTAAGGATAACCAGGTAATTATTATATTGAATTTTAAAATGGAATTGGTAATGTAATTGTAAATGTTTGTTTTTTGTATAAATATAGAATCAAGGTCAATCTCGTTTAACGCAATGGAAGTTACCTCCAACGTTAGATAAGGATGAAGGTGGAGACTTCAGTCGCGCGCCGGGTTCAGTATCAAAGCCTTTGGTACCTTCCCATAGCTCACCAAATTTGAATCCTTTGGGACTAACACAAACGGATGGCCCATGGTCCAGCGGTCGTAGCAATGCCGGCGATGGCGGATGGCCAGATAGCGCTCCTGGTGATACCATGGGGTCAGATATCAAGGATGTCCAATGGGCGGCTCCGTCGCAGCCTTCCCTCACAGATCTCGTACCTGAATTTGAACCAGGGAAGCCCTGGAAGGTAATTACCATTTAAATACGACCAGCATACAATTCAATTAAACATATAATTAATTTTACAGATTTAATTTCTGATTTTAAATGAATTGTATTCAACTATCCGTTATTACTATTTTTATTAATTATGTTTTTGGTATTTCATTTTCAGGGAAACCAAAAATCAATTGAAGATGATCCCACCATAACTCCAGGCTCCGTGGTAAGATCTCCTCTATCGCTGCCGACAATAAAAGACAGCGAATTGTTCAATATAAATCCGAGTAAATCTCCACCGCCTGGTGCTGATACAATCCAACCGCTAAATATTAGTTCCTCCACATGGACATTCAATCCACCATCGTCATCGTCAAGTGCATTTACAAGGTAAAACTTTTAATATTTGCTTAATAACTTCATTCAACACTAAATTATATATTTCGACATGATTATATAATACGGATCTAATTTATGATTGTCTGATTTCAACATATAAATGATCTATTGGTATTTTCAGCTGCACTCTAATGCGAGTTGAAACATTTACTAATTTGTCTGATGTTCTTTAGCAGCCCTCAGAATAAGGTGCCCAGTAAGATTTTGGGAGGATTGAATCCTTCCTCGTCCGTAAATAGTGAGCTGTGGGGTGCTCCGAAACGTGGCCCACCTCCTGGTCTCTCCACCAAGAGCAATTCCGTTGTCAATGGTTGGGGATCCAACATCAGTTCTGCGTCCACTGGATGGGGCGGCTCTCAACGAAGCAACTGGGTTAATTCAAGCACAACCCCATGGCTTCTACTTCGCAATTTGACTGCCCAAGTATGTTATTAAGTTTTGTGAACAACTTTTGTACGGTTTATTTATCAAGATGTGAAATAATCTGTGTTGTTTTTTTTATTGTTTGTTTCACAGATAGATGGGTCCACTTTGAGAACACTTTGCTTGCAGCATGGACCATTACAAAGCTTCCATTTGTATTTGCATCAAGGATTCGCCTTGGCCAAGTATTCTACTAATGAAGAGGCTGTTAAAGTAAGCTATATCCAATTGTTTTGCGCCCTGTTGATTACACGTCACTTTTTTCTGTTCCCAATAGGCTCAGAATGCATTGAACAATTGCGTTTTGGGTAATACAACAATCCTCGCCGAGAATCCTACCGACTGGGAGGCAACCAGTCTCTTGAGGGAGGTGGCCAACCAGCAGGGATCTTCGGGCGGATGGCGCGGCGGATCCACCAAGCCGACTGCAGCCGACACTTGGAGCACAAGCTGGTCCAATTCCTCGACGACCAGTTTGTGGGGCTCCTCCACGCTGGACACCGGTGATCAATCACGTGCTACACCGTCCAGTCTTCAATCGTTCTTGCCAGAAAACCTTCTTGGCGGAGAGACGATGTAAAATGAGAAAAGAGAAACCCAAGCAACAACAGGTTTTCTAATTTAATTTGTTTTTAAATAATACTTTTGGGAGTTTTAATTTATTTAAAGAAAAAAAAAGAAACTTCTTAAGCAACACGTTTATAAGAATGCTAATTTCTTTATTACCTTATTTATTTCTGGATATATATTATTTTCTTTTAATCTGAGGAGTTTTCTTTTATTCGGTTTGCGTTTACTGCATATTTTTTGTTAATGTGGACGTGTTGCATCTTAAGTTGAAATTTTCTCCTAAAAGGCTAAAAAAAAAGAAAATATTATAAGTTAGAAAAGAAAAACAAACAGCTCCGATTGTGACTTAAAGACGCTCAATTTCCACAGAAGCGCACTTGAAACTAGTCCCATTCTTATATAACTCTATATATATATATTACAAAGTGAAATCCAGCAATACTTAAACAAAAAAAAACTAACAGAATTTGTATAAATGAAGCCAAATTATGATTACTTTTTTTTTTATTCTGCGGGACTGGTTTTTTTGCCTCTCTATATATTCTCAATTTGCGACAAATCTTTTGTTTTATTTTGTTTTGTGTGTGTATGTATGTGAAGAGAAACAGGAATGATGTAACATGTAACCCGAACTAGTCTTATTATTATCTATTATTTAAACTACGCAAGGTTCTGAACGAAACCGTAACTCACGAAAATATCAATTAATATTAATTGCGCGAATTTTTTACGTTTTAATTATATAATATCCGCGTTCTTAAAACAATCTCGCTCTGAATTTTTATATTTATATAGATATTTTTTCCTATAACCTATTTTGTACATTAGTAAACGTTGTTTATATTTTTTAATTATTAACGTACCTTAGTTGTTTGTATGTGTTGAACGTTATTTTTTTCTCTCCCTGTGTGCGGTTGTATTTTGAGCGCGAGCGCGCCACGCCCACCGAAAACGGCACATCCCCCGCCCACTAATTTAGTCTAATTTTAGCATGTGATAAATATTATATACAAATCTCGTCGAACAGCCCCGAGAGGTTTCGTTCTCCCAATAAGCGATCGGGGGGCGGAGCGCGATTGTGAATGTTGCGATGTGATTGGTTGGTTTGTTTGTTGAGACAATGGACAAGACACACAGTTCATCATCCGAAACCGGTGGGAGTGTCGCGGCCGCGCGTCAAAAGAATTGTTAACCCCACATGAAAATAAAAACCTGTGATCTCCCTATTTCCTATAAATAATTAAAAACAAAAAAGAAAAGAAGAAAAATGACAAAAAAAAAAGAAGTAATTAAAATAATAAGATACAAACGTATGAAAAAAATAATATCAGTTATACACATACAAAGAATGAAATGAGAAAATTAATTTAAAAGAAATTATATTGTTATATGAATATTATATGTGAGCTGGGGTAGCAAATGAGATGAGATGTGAAAGAGATGAAGTTCAAGCAGGAAATGGCTTATTGAGGGCTGACACATGCCCCAGTTGCATAACACCACAATCAATTTAGACTGCACGCTGAAAAAGTATTCTTAAATAAAAAAATTAGTAATAATGAGATGAGAAAATGAAAATATTAAAAAAACCACAACATAATAATATAGCTGAAATATATAATATATTATATAAATCGTTCTAATTTAAGCAAAAAAAATAATAATAATAATATATATGAAATATATAAATCTATATATATAAATTTTATTATATATATATATACCTATTAATATAATGAAAAGTATTTGTGTGTACTTCTTCTATGTTAGCCATAGACTTGAATATGTTAATTATTAGTCCATTTATGATTATGAAAAGAGAAAATGAAGCAAAAAAAAAATATTTACCTGTGATTTTGTTTGGTTGTCGATGCGCGTGCAAGAGCCGGGCTGCCCCGCCGCCAGACCGAGCAATCAAAGAGAAGAACTCACCAATCGCTGCCCTTCAAACAAATGAAGAAGAGAGAGAGAGAGAGAGATGAAAAACAAAGAAAAGAAAAAAACGAAATAAAATGCTACTCGCGGGGCGGAGCAGCATCGCGAACGCAGTTATGACATCCGAACTAGTACAATCACATTGTGTTAACGTGGTGTTCAAAATAAGTAAATAATAATAATATCGATAACTATAATATAATGATATATTCTATATATTCTATAAAGTAACAAGAAAATAAAAAGAGTAAAAAAATGAAAAAAAAAATGAAAATATTTGGTGTGTGGATGACGATGATGATGATGAGACGAAGAAGATGCGATAATTACCGATCTAGTTTTGTTTTTTGTTTGTCTTATTTTTTTTTTCGAAATGATTATATATATATATGATAAATATGAGCCAATGTGAGTCTTTCGCGAAACGAATTGTCCCCGCCCCGGTATGATTTGTTTTGTATTTTAATTTCTTTCACTAGTTGTTACTTTTACTGATTATCTTTTACTTAGTTCTTCCTTGATTGGTGCGTTTCAATTTTTCATTCTGCGGTACGAAGATTTGTGAAATCGAGAGAGGAGACGAGATACGGATTGATGCCAATAGATGATATATAGATGGAATAAATGTACGAGAAAATATTCGATTCACTTTATTAATATTCTCAAAATTGCTATGATCAGCGATCATTCTTCTAAATTAACTAAAAGCATTAAAAAAAATATATATATATAAAAAAAATAAACAACAGCATGAGAAATATTTTCTTTGTAAATTTATTATGAGGAAATGCGTGTGTGGAGTCGTTGAACGTTACCTAAACCACGATGATCTAGTTAAAAAGAAAGACTGAGAGATTATATTATTATTATATTTTATTATTATTATATAGAGATACATACAAAGAGAGCGTAGCGATTGATGATGATTGAAGGAGAGAGAGAGATTAACAGTTGATGATGAGTGAAGGAAATTGAAACGTACTGATTTAAAGATAACAACCTCTGATTTCGTCGTTCGATTATTATATCATTTCCGAATGCTAGTGTTTTCTAATGTTATCATTAAAGAGATTAATTATGGAAAAAAAAGAGAAGAAACTTACAGAAAAAGATAATACAAAAATATTATATAAATATATATATATATATGAGAAGTGAAAAAAAAAGCATTGGACTAACATGTATTTTATGTACACAACTGTGCTGTGAATCTTAAGTGGCTTTTTAATTTTTAAAAAAATATAAATAAAATAACAAAAAAAAAATTCGAAAAAAAAAGAGAAGAAGTATGAATAATAATGATAAATTTATGAATATAATGGTGTAACAATATTGAGGTTTTTTGTTTTTGTGAGGGCTCTTGAAGCGTATTTCTCTGCTTCACTTCCTCGACGAAGGAGAGAAAGCTTAACTTAAATATAACTGAATTGGAAGCTTTGAGTCTGAAACCTCCCCTGGCCGTGATTCGCTTTCTATTCTCTCAATCCCCGCATCTTTTTAGAACAATCAATTTACCAAGTCATATCGTATACTAAATAGTAATAATGATTCAAAACAAACATACAAAACATGTAGATGTAAATTTAAAGCCGTTTCTTTAATTAGATTAAGTTTAGATGTTTTACTTTACATGTTTGGAGTGCCTGAGAAGGGTGTGAGTGTTTGTGATCGGGGAGGTGGATGCGTTTATTCAAAAAAATGTATTTTCGATAAATTCATTCATATTGAGAATAAAAAAAACAACAATGGTGCAAATTTGAGATGAAAAGATGTAGACGTTTTCACATCTGAAAATAACGCTTTTTAAATGTCTTCAAGAGGAAGCGTTAAGCAAAAGAAACAAAAACAATTAAGAGCTTTACACGATTTTTACCGGAAAGGAATCCTCGCAAAAATGAAAAGAACATTAACCGGAAGACGATTCAAATGATTGATGAAAGTATCAAGAGTATATCGATAAGTTCCACTAGAGTTTCAAAACAAACAAAAAAAATCTAGTAATCTATTGCCAATTTAAATTGTAAATGTATTAGTTTCTAGGTATTAATAATGATATTATTAACTAGTTGTTTAAGACTTTGGTATTAGGGTATTTTCATGTTGTGTATATGCTTAAAGTAATATTAAAATATTTGACAACCGTGTGTACGTCGTCTGTGTGTGCATAAATAGTGTATACTCGCGCCAAAAAATAAAAGAAAAGAAAAAACAAAATGAAAGAATTGGGTGAATCTGCGGATTTTCGTTTCGGGATTTTGATGATAACGAAAGAAAGAAAAGGGGACAAACGGCGCGTTTCTCTAGGTGTGTGTAGATTGTGATAAAAGTATTTGCTGTTCGTTTCGTTTAATTTAAAAAAAAATAAATAAATAAATAATTCTAAAATTAATAATGATATCAAGAGAGTGATTTAAGTAGGAACGGTTCCGAGGACCCGACTGAAAACGAGAGAAAAGAAAAATGAGTAATCAATAATGCCATATTCAGAAAAAAAAAGCAAAAGATTCCAAATGATAAAATCAATTGAAAGGCAAATGACATTGGTACAAGTCAAGTAATATATTACAGGATGAATAATTAGATTACGTAAGCGAACCGAAAACTATAGGAAAATTGATTATTGTTTAAGAATATATATATTTATAAATATATATTTCGATTATTTCCTTCTGTTTTTTTTAAATTATGTAATAGGGTATTTTTTTTTAAATAACATCCTAGGTTGTAAGTTTTAAGTCGTAAGGATAACAATAAACAAAAAGAAACAAAAAAAAATGCAAAAAAGTTATTTAAGAGGACGTGGATGCGCGGTTGCAGGTTTATTATATCGTTTCGTTGAATGTTTTAAAGTGATAATAAGTAACTTTTTTATCTTCTTCGTGAGTTCAGTGAGTAGAGCGCTTTAATTTCGTCTTTCGTTCATACGAACTGCAACTGCTGTACTGGCATTGTGATTTTACATACTAATTAATTAATATTAAATATCTATATCGAGTGTGCATTAAATAAATTAAGAAATATATTATATATTAAATATATGTATATGGATATATTATTATAGATGGTGAACGTCGATTGGAGAACTCGACTTAGCGTTACGCCCCTCGCCAGGCTCCGCCTAGTTTTTAAATATATATTCTATGTCTGATATTACGTACCTTTCAGGAGAAACAGAAAATATTTGTAGTTTTTAGGGTTGTTTATTTCACGACAGGAGAGAAGAAACAAGGAAGAAAGAAAGAAAAAAAAATATGATAAAAGACAAAAAAAATGATTTAGGCTAAGTGGACGTAATTAGGTTATGCACAATGACGTTAACTAAAGTGTGGACTTGACGTATATATATACCAAAAAAGCATAAACGGAAAAAGGATGATGAGATTTACTAATAAAACAAATGAGAAAGAGAAGCAAACGCGAAATGGGTTTTGTGATAACTTTCAAAGCCATTCCAAAAAAAAATAATACAAAGAAAGAAATGTGAGAGTTAATGAAAAGATGAAATATGCAAAATAAATCGCCCTTTTTTTTAATTCAATTCCAAACTACAATGTTTTATATAATCACATATCATTTTATTTAATTTTGCGTACCAAAAAAAAAACAAAAATAAATAAGAGTCAGTTTTTAAGCGAATAAAAAAATAAAAATGAAGAAATGCCAAATATTTAAAAATCGCCATATCATATTTTCATCCGCCAAAAACCGAATGAAGAACAAGAAGTTTTCGCGCCAAAAT